TGTCTTACGGAAGAGAGATAGATGACAGGGATCGGTCAGGTTAAGCTATCTCGCTGTACTTCACCCATTTTCAATGACTCAGCACAGCTGCTTTTATCCAAAATAATGAGAAATGTTTCTGATTAGATGTCAGTCGATATTGCCATCCGCAGGGGATGGGTTAGGAGCCGAAGCGTTATTTGGAATACATTTAGATAAATATTTCCATTACAAAAAAGAATCAACTAGTGGGAGCGATTTTAATAACAGAAGTCAGAAGGTATTAATTCCTACAACCAGATAGTTCTTCTCATCTTCATTATACGCCTAATCAGGGTTCCCCTTGAGGATGTTGATCTAATAATAAGTGAACTGCGTCACGCCTTGAACTTATATAAATTCTGAAGTTTAACGAGGTCTCGACTTCCAAGGGGGTGTTTGGACGATTCTTCAATCAGGACCACATGTGTTAGCACGACTTCAGGTGACATCAATCTTTGCCGAGCAGCTGAACACGCCCGTTCCCGAGATCATTGTGCGGCACTGGGCACTGGGACCGATTTTCGAAGCCTCACCCTATCCAGGTCGCTTTTCGACCCGATAATACCCTTCTGGTCTTTTATGGATAAAACAAGTAATACTAATAAGACAGTGCGAAAGCATTTCATTGCGAACTGTATCTTCAGTCCTACTTTTTTTGGGTGTCGTAATCTGATCAATGCCGAGTATCATAAATATATTGCCTATAAATTTAAAATAATTAACAACATTAAAGATACAGAAAAATTCGTTAACACTATACTTACATAATCATCTGCCTGTCTATAATGTTTTTAATAAGGAAAAAAAAGAAGTCTTTGGTTCTTGGTTAGGGAAGGAACATGATTAATTATTGCTTCCACTTCAATTATTACTACTACTTTTCTAACCATCTTATTGCTCGGGTTTAGTTTGTTTTCGACCCAATCCACTTCTATTGGTAACCCTTTGAGACAATTTTTGGCGGGAAGATATCTTATTTAAACTCAACGTCTACCTACAAGTTCAGTGTTCTAGATTATTCTCCCCATCATTCTTCACATACTTATTATTATTCACGTATTAGTCCGTTCCTTACATCTCTCCTTTGTTATACTGTGATATCTGTATCAACACCTTCTTGATGGTCATCACCTAATCACTGAAGAGCTTCGGGTGATGAATGACATTGGTTAGTATGATTAAGGGGCGAAACGAACCAATTGTTGTTCCTCGTCCTTTTTTGTATGCTAACCTAAGACCTTTGTCTCTTTCTAATCAGCAACTCGACTTCAAATGAATAGGGGATTTCTTTTAAATACATATGCAATAGAGCATCTCTGAGCCTTGCGTCCCGTGCTTTTAATTCACATCGAAGATGATTTTTACAACGAAGGACTGCAAAAGTTTCTCTATGAAGAAAGACACATTCAACAATAGCTAGACAAAATGGAGTAGCTGTGCTGCTCAATACTAATGTGATAATTTTTCTCTCCTCTACATCACGCTTAATATCATTTCTTGCAATTTTCTAGCGTACTGCTGTAACTCATATATCCCACTATTTCCGACTCCTTCAGGAAAATGTGTAATGAACTCTAACATCTACAGTCATTAGGGACGGCCACTCGGACAATTTACAACGTCGTTGATTGAATTTCATTACAACATGGAAAAGAACGTGGGAGCACTGCAGGACACTATGTGATTGGAATGTTTACTTTACACGGTCGCGGATATCCGTCAGCTGCGACTGCTACACTACTGCTACTAATTTATGGTCAACCGACGATTTGCGACGGAGTATTTTTGACAATGAATAGTAGTAGTAGTGTAGCAGTCGTCGCTCTGCCATAACTTTTCTTAAAATGGGCCAAATGATTTGAAAGTAAGATTAGAGGAAAGACCTAATCGCGAAGAATCCGGACAGTTAAGAAAATCCCAATTTTCCTAATTTTTTAATTCATCACGTATCACCTGTCGTCCCGTTGATCGTCGATTTCCTCGAGCGGGCGCCAGTATGTCTCCATTCGTCCCTGTTACGAGCCAGAGTGGTCCAATGAATCGCTCCAGGGACACGAGGAACAACATTCCCTTCGCTCAGAGCTTTCATGAAGAAGTCTGACCATCTCGTTGGCGGCCTTCCTGGAGTTCGTTTGATGTCCCGAGGGATCCAGTCAGTAACCGCCCTGGTTCAACGGTCATCACTATATCGCATAACGTGTCAGGCCCACCTGATCTTTGATTACTTGGCGTAGTCAACGGCATCCCTGATCTTCGTACGTTGAAGGAGCTCGGAACTCCGGATTCCCTTCTGCACTTGCGTGTACAGGGAAATTCCGAGCATCGTCCTTTAAAAAGCGCGTTGAGCAACGCTGATAGCATGCTCATCCTGCTTTCGTAGAGTCCAAGTTTCTGAGGCGTACGTCAAAGCAGGAAGAACAGCAGTGTCGAAAAGGTGAGCGCGGAGCCGGATGTTTCTTGTCTTCTTCACTACTCCCTTGATATTCTTAAATGCTCCCCACGCGGCGCGTTTCCTTCTGCATAGCTCCGGAGCTAGGTCGTTCATCATGGTGACTTCTCGACCTAGATACACATAGCTAGAGCATTCGGAGATATTCTTTCCATTTAGCGTGAAGGGAGCATCAGGTACCAAACCGTTTTTCATGAACATCGTCTTCGTTAAGTTCATTCTCAATCCGATCCTTCCTCGAGCAATGTCAAACTCGGCCAGCATTCGTTCCGCCTGCTCGATGTTCGGTGTCATGAGAACGATGTCGTCTGCAAAGCGGAGGTGATGTAGACAGCGGCCGTCGACCTTCACTCCCAAGTCTCCCCATTCAAAATGACGCATGATATTCTCGAGAGCGGCACTTAAAAGTTTGGGCGATTTGGTATCGCCCTGCCGGACACCTCTCTTCACGTTGATAATGACTTCCTTGTAGAATGGTGAAATCCTGGTCGTAACTTGTCTCAGAGCTCACGAAGAATCCTTATATAGTGGTATATGGTTGCCCAGGGCTTCGATTACCGCTTCTGTCTCGACAATGTCAGAGGCTTTCTTCAAATCGATGAACGTAAGACATAGCGGCATTTCGTACTCTCGCGACACTTCAATGAGCCTTGTTAGGGTGTGGATATGATCGATTGTACTGGACCCTCTCCGAAACCCTGCTTGCTCGCACGGTTGTGCTTCATCTAATATTCTGCCAATCCTGTTAAGGATGGCACGAGTGAAAAGCTTGTGGATTACGGACAGCAGGCAGATTGGGCGATAATTGCCAATATCGTCTGACTCCCCCTTTTTGTACAGCAACACAGTCTTGCTAGTTTTACACGACGTGAGTACTTTGCATTCCGACAGGTACCTTGTGAAGGAGCCTAGCCAGAGTTTTGATGATGACTGGTGGTATACTACACCGGTGTGCAAAACTTAGGGACGAGATGGATAATATAACATAAAACATTGAGGACAGGGTGGAAATAAATGAAAGGGTAGGATTATATTGCCAGACCTATGACGGCTTTGCATAGGAAGTTGAACACCCCTCCGTGGAGGAATGGTCCAAATAATGCGAGAAATATGGCTACCTGCACAAATCGAGGCAGCTGATAGGTACGAAAAAAATTTATTTCTCAATCAGCCAGTAGCTACCAAGTACTGTGATGTTATCCTTCTATACATCATATCCCGCAGGCATCGTTTGGATGACCTGGCACGAGGAAAGATCATCGAGAAGCTCGAAAAAGGTCGAACCGTGACGAGTGCAGCTCAGGAACATGGTATTGCTCACAGCGTTGTTACACATGCACGGAGAGCATTCCGAACCTCTGTACCGCTGCATGAAAGAGAGCAGGTGGTCAACCAAGAACAACTACATTAAGGCATGACCGCTACATTGTGCAGCAGGCAAAAAGAGATCCACGTCAGTCAGCTTCTTTGATTGCAATGTCATTTAACAGGATTTCAGAGCAAGCCATCCCACGCAATACAGTGGCACGACGACTGCACGGTTGCGATCTCCTCGCCCGACGGCCACTACGTAGTGTTCCTTTGACCCTCGCGAATCGGCGAGACCGTTTAGAGTGTTGCAAGGAGCATAGCGAGCGGACCGATGAGAAATGGGGTCGTTTGCTTTTTCGGATGGGAGCAGATTCAGTCTGAGTAGTGATTTTGGACGCACCCTCATGGCCAGAGGTGGGAACACGCACGTCTCTCAGAAACGTTGTGGAACATGATCGTTCTGGTGGTCGAGGTGTTATGGTATGGGGAGGTATCATGCTTCGCAACCGTACTGGCCTCCAGATTTTTGAGCGTTTGACCCTTAACAACCGGCGTTACTGTGAAAATCCCTACCCCTCTCTAATGTGTATCTTTTCAGGGCTGCAGCGAGCCCTGAATTCATTTCTATGGGTAACAGCGCGCGACCGCATCGAACAACTCAATTGGAAGAGCAATTGACACAAGAGGTTATCCAGCGAATGGAGTGGCTTGCCCGCTTCCCCGACCTGAATCTCATGGGGCACGTGTAGGATGCACCGGGTAGAGGCATTGCTGCACGTCCAAATGCATCACTGACTACTCAGCAGTTGTCAATTGCGCTGAAAGAGTAGTGGAATGCCCTACCACAATAACTCATTTCCAACTTCGTGGAAATTATGGGATCGCGTTGCAGACCATTTACTGCTGCCCGTGGTGATCACACACCCTGTTAGGAACCGCGTCGCTTTTTTTGGAGTATTAGGATAAGTTGTAAGGAACTATGTGCAATCGGTACCTTTCAACAAAAAGGCCTTATTTGTTCGTCCTATTTCGATTTTCTTCCAGTTGCTTCCTGTGCAATACTATAATGGTCCTCCCTTTGTATGGTATAAATTTCATCGAGCTCTGTCGACTGGCAAAGGTTCGGTGATCGAAAGTTGCTTTCGTCCCTAAGTTTTGCACACCAGTGTATTCAGATGTTCTGGTTTGATCCTATCGGGACCGGGCGCTGTACATTTCTTCATCGATCTGATGGCATGTCGTATTTCGAGAGGGAGAACCGAAGAGCGATATATTCGTCTTGCCTAAGATGGTGAGTAGGCAGGTAGACGTGACTGTCAAAGAGATCCGAGTAGAAGTCGTAGATGACCTTTTCCATTGCCCTCCGGGAAGCAGTAACGGTTCCGTCAGGACGACGAAGGGAGGTCATCTTGGTCTTGTAATTGGCGAAGCTCCGTCGGGCTTTGCGAATGCTCTTTCCGGCCTCGGCGGCTTCATCCATGACTGCTGCTCTTCTCTCTTTCAGATGTTCCTTTATCGCTTTTCTACATAGCTTCGTAAGTTGGGACGTTTGTTGATAATTGCCTGTAGCTCGCGCGATTCCACGCTGGCGTATCAGCTCGAGAGTCTTCGAAAAGAGTCGTCTCTTGGCTACTTGTAGACTCTCTGCTTTCGTAGCACTATCATGAAGATGGTCGACGAGCCGGTTGTATTCTTCGTCGATGTTGTCGATAACGGAATCTTCCCATTCACTCGCAAGGGAAGCGAAGTGGACCCAGTTGATGGAGGTCTTGGGGCTTCGTTTCCGAAACTTCATGGCTCTCTCCNATCCGGGTTGTTGAGCTTTCGCACAAATCGATGTTAATGGCCAAGTGCGTATTGACGAGGACACCTACGCCGCCGACGCCTCTCCTGTCGCATGTCCCAAGGAACAATTCTTCTCCAGTCTCAAATACAGCGTGCAGCGGGTGATGCCTTCTCGTCTCGGTCAGTCCGATGACGTCGTACTTGATCTTCCTAGCTTGCACCATCAGGTCTTCCATACACGCTTCCGATGCAAGCGTCCGTGCGTTGAAAGTACAGATCGCCATCTTAGTCCTCCTCCTTTTGGGCAGCCTGTTTTGACCCTGAGATTTTAGCAGCCTGTCCCGAGCGGTCCTACACAACGCTGCCGTATTGGGGGCTCCCTTAGGTTCAGGGGAGTGAGGACCATTTTTATTACTGTTTTTGGCGTGTAAAAAAAACCCATCGTGTAGCTTGCCAGGCTCTGACAAGGGGGGTTAGACGAGGGGCTTCGTTTTTGGAGGCGGCCTCGAATCGCCTCCCAGATACTTCCAAGCGTGACTTGTTCGTCGCTTGAATGCAAGCTTTTGGCCGTGTCGATGGGCAGGATAACAACTGCACCCATAGACCTTCCACACACGTATGCGGCGATGAATTCCCATATCCGCCACCTGGGGACGCCTTACGTAGCCTCGTCACTAACCGGCTGGGGATCCTTCAGTGAGAGAGAACTCAGTGAAGGAGATCCGTAGTTTGCATTCATATTGAGGAAAAATGGAATTTGAGTCTTGAAGTACCTAGGGTTTTACTTGAGGATATAACAGCATCGTGAGCCTTCCACTTCAACTGGAATCTCCGTTTTCAATTCTGAAAAGAGATAGATGACACTATGTTCGATGAGAGCATAAAATCTTGAACATTTTGAAACCTTCCATGGCATAATATCAACATTTCAACTATTAGGTTGGCAAATAAGTCCTGCGACAAAAAATTGGAAGCGTTGAAAATTTGCATCAAGAGTGTGAACACGGTAGCAAGGGTAATAAACTTATAGGAAGTTCTCCGGGCAATCAACACATGGGTAAATAAGGGCACGCGTGTGGGCCTTCGTAGCATTACAGTCTATGAATGAACAACACCCATTCGTACCATCACCTTCTACTGAGCACGCCAAGGGAAAAACGCGGGTGTAGCGGCTCGAAATATCAGCAATCTGTTCGTTGCTAGCACTGCTCACCGATCGACGGTCAACAATCGGTTGGATCGCTTCACTGCAGAAGATACCAGCCTTCGGAGTAACGCAAGCATCGTCCCTTAATTTAATGGAGGTTGAAGGAATCCATTCACTATGAGTTGCTAAACGCAGACTAGATGGACACAGCTATCGCTTGCCCCTATGATCCCCTTGGGCCAACGAGGTTAGAGAAGGGCGATCAAACCATAAATCAGGCCCCTACAGAGGGACAACGCAAAGTTCGCTTTAAACCCACGTCAAAAGTTCTACGATTCCAAATGGTTCCAGGTTGTTCATCAGTCGTGCTCCCCAAGTGTTGCCCCTTTTACCTACCATGCGCTCCGCCTTTTTGAGCATCCCGTTGTGGAAAAAAAATTCGTAACTTGATGCGATCCAAAAACGGCAGTCAATTACTTCTTTGAGTCACAGCTCCCTCACTTCTGAAGAGATGGTATCAGTGGTTGGCTCCAAGGATAAAAGGAGGTTGTCGACATCTTCGGTCAAATTTTTTCCGGAAATCGACTGATATGAAAAAAATTAGAAATGATTAAAAAAGGGTCTCCATTTTGTCGCAGGACTTATTTGCCAACCTAATAAAAGAGATGATTCGAATCATCAAGTTTTCGCACATTTGCAAACTCTTATCAGCGATCTGTTTTGAATGTGAGACCATCGGATGGTCCTTCTTACGAAGAATCCAGTCATATGATAATTTTTGATTTCCTTCAAATTTGCAGCTCCTTTTCACGAGGATTTGAAAGTGAGTCTCCAAGTACCTGAGGTGTTACCTGAGGATGTTACATCATCGTCTACTTCAATTGGAAATATCGTTCTCAATTTTTGAAAAGCACATTTGTCTCTATATTCTCGGAAAGCATAAAATTACGATCATATCGATATCCTTTATTACATAATCTCCATACTTTCACCTGAAAACAGTGATTTAAACTCACAATTTTTCAAGAATTTGTTAGTTGTTTTCGAAGGTGCATTTCATGGGAAGCAATTTTGCTCTTATTGAAGGCTTCAGTTATGTGATATGTGATGACATATTAGACTAGCCGCAGGTAAGTGGTCAACACAAACTTTCATTTCAAAATATACATACAGATTTACATTTCAAAATTGCTTCCAGTGTTGATCAGCGGCAACGTGGCTTGAAAACGGCTACTGCAGAAGAGTATTTGCTTCCTTGTTATTATACACAATCAAGTTGGCTGAGTCACCAAACCTTGAGCTAATTGACACTTCAATAAGGGAGGTCACCTCACAGGCACCCACTCGCCTGTGGGGTGACCTCCTTTAATTTGTTGACTGGTGAGCTCTCTGAAAGTTTCAGTGAACTGATATCGATTACGTACACTGGAAACTTCACCCTTATTATTATTGGCGCATGGCTGGGAGTTGGTGTATAGGTCCAATTGTTCTTACATCGCACCATCCTCGCCCATTTACTCACTCGCCTGTGGGAGTTACCTCTCTTAATTTGTTGGCTGGTGAGCTCTCTGAAAGTCTCAGGGAACTGATATTGGTTACGTACATTGGAAATTTCACCGTTATTGCTATTATTATTATTATCATTATCATTATTATTATTATCAATATTGTTATTACAACACAAATTAAAACAATATGTAGTAAGGACAAGACAATGTATAAAGTCAGGAGTATCACATTATGACTATGACTGCATTATAAGTGTCAGAATACTATGCATCTTTATTAGTGACGTCTTTTTGTATACTATTGCTCTGTTTGGTTTTCTAATTACGATGCACTAATAAATACGCTGAATTAGCACGTTATGCTTTCCTCTCTTGCTTATCCGCCTTTCGCCAACATACGTTTGCGCTTGGGCGTGCTCCAGATTTGAGGTAGCTGTGGCTGCACCTAGAGTCTTTGGAAACTCACAGCTCACAGTGATTTTGGATTCTGAGGATTAATGGAAGGGGTTTGGAGTTACAGTAAAAGTAGTGGTGGCACAGTGTATCCGGCGGGCTAGCTAAATACTGGGAATAAGAAGAAGCAACAGGACCAGCTAACCTTTAGAGCCGGAAAAAAGCGCTGTGATCGAATTTAGGGTGGTTTAAATGGAACATTGTGCTCATCGGATGACAAGCACACTACAGAAGAGGTTTGTAATGCTCTCATCTACATGTTTAAATACATTCAGGTGGCCCCAAAGAAAGCGATACAAGGTCAGAAAAAGGTTGAAAGGATACTCTCTGTTAAGTAGTTTGCTTACAGGCGGCTTTGGAGGATGAATGCTTTCCACAATGCAATGAAATCATTTCCGCCTTCCTATGATTAGCTTCCACAGCTTTCCGAGTCGAATTACTTATGTGTGGCATATTTTTTAATATGCTTTATTTTATTTCTCATGCCTTAAATGTAACGTAGTTTCTCACTCATACATTCGGTATTTGTTACTCGTCAACATAGTAAACTGACAGAAAGGTCACCACCAAACCAATTAAGCGAGGTCACACCGAAGGCGAGTGTGTGGATGGGCGAGGAAGGTGCAAAGTATCTAGAACTGGACCTAAACTGACTCACCTGCGCATCGCCTTCGTTATAGCTGTACCCATTTAAGAGCACGCCAAGTGACACATTATGGCATGCTACTAGCAGAAAGAAATAGCAACATTATGAGAAATACTGTTCAACTTTGAGTACAAAACCTACTTGTACTACTAGTAATCGCTTGCAACTTCACTTTTTGCTTGTTCAAAACCGCTTTTTTATTTGCCCCTAGCTCCCCATGTTTGGGAACTGGGGGGCTTCAATGCGAAGAACCCGCCTGATTAGCTCAGAGAAGTGCACATTGCTCGCCAGCGATATTGGTCCATCGTTTGCAAGCTCTGTGCACGACGGAGAAATCAAACCCTTACGAAACCCAGTCGAATGCAAAGATGAGAAGCAAGCACCCTTTCTGCGCCATTGGACCGGTTGAACTTGCGAACATTTCGGCCAACCATTTGATAGCGACTCAGATCCGTTGGGGAAACAGTAAGAGATGGTCGGTCGACATTGACGTGTTAGGTCATATTTAGACACGATTCACTCAATAGTCAAGTACAGTACCCGTTGTGCTCACAAAGCGGGCACACGACTATTTCAATTTGTGATAGGCATGCGCAACACTACGTTGTAGGAAAAGGACACTACGCAACATTCTGTTGCCTTCCATGGCAGTTTCCAAAAATTTCAGCTGAAAACGGTGATTTGAATCATCGAATTCTCCAACCTTAATCATTTCACGATTCGAATCCCATTTTCGGTCAGCTATGGTGTGAATCTAGATAGGAGCACGGTGAAAAAGGTTTTTTCGAATAACGAAAAAGTCTGAATGGTCCATCAAGGTTGCCTTTTCAACGATTGTCAAGTGAGATTGTAAGTAGGGAGGATCTTGTAGAATCGTGATTTGATTAAACACTCAGTGTACATAGTATTGCCTTACAATAATTGTTATGGTTCGTCATGAAATTATGTCACATTTGATAGTAGATGGCTGGATCGCCTTCTAATTAACGTTGAGGTGGTCGACCCCGGGAGGCGGGCAGGAGGAACGGTTTTCTGTAAACGATTCGTCGTACGCGGCTCTAGCTTACAGCTCTAGCGTTCTTCATACAGCTCAAACGATACGCGATCCTTGTTTTAGGCATGATTCTTTTATTAGTTCCTGTTCCTGTATTTCTTACCTGTTGCTGCATTCTGCTATATTCCTTCGCGCGCGGCGTCCCTCTTGCCGCGACGCGACACTTCCGTTCCTACCACCCCGTCGACCCCTCATGATCNGCAGGAGGAACGGTTTTCTGTAAACGATTCGTCGTACGCGGCTCTAGCTTACAGCTCTAGCGTTCTTCATACAGCTCAAACGATACGCGATCCTTGTTTTAGGCATGATTCTTTTATTAGTTCCTGTTCCTGTATTTCTTACCTGTTGCTGCATTCTGCTATATTCCTTCGCGCGCGGCGTCCCTCTTGCCGCGACGCGACACTTCCGTTCCTACCACCCCGTCGACCCCTCATGATCGACCCATGGCCCATGGCTTTCTATTGACCCATGGCCTTTGCTGCTGCCGTGTCTATTCAGGAGCACTTCTTTGCTGGATTTATCACATTAACAGAAAAACTTTTTCAAATATTATTTTTGATATAGTATCATGACAGCTGTCTGATTCAGATCCTTTCTACCACAGCTCTCCACTTCAGATATTAGTTTCAATTTCGTCATGTGGGAGCCTTGAAAATCAAGATGTTTGAGATACCAGTAAGAACTATTGTTTGATACCCCTTTCAAATAGGTCCACAGAAATCAGCTTGAGAATGAGATTTCGTTCAATTGCTGTTTCGAACATCTCTGCTTTTCAAGTAAACATAGCCACATTATCTAAGTTGAAGTGCTTTCGATCTCCTGTTGATAATTATGTTGAATTTAATCTGAAGGTTAAGAGTTCGCATTCATATCTAATCCGCATTCAAATGACATTCAGTGCGTCTCCAAATGATACAGCCACCTCTAATTTTCCAAAAAACTCACTGTATACGATGTTTCTGAAAAAGTGCCAAATAAAAGATGTGTCAAATCTGAATTGCAATCCGCACATTATTACCAAATTCCAGCTCGGAAACACAAACTTTTTTTGGTCAACTTCTCGGTAAAGGGTGCTTTTCCAACGTCTCCAAATGATACAGCCACTAACAAAATTGATATACTTAACAACAAACATACAACAAGGAGAGAAAGTTGCAAAGTCAGTAATCAGTTTGTCCACCATTCAATTGAATTACTCCGAAAATACGGTGGCTTGGGCTTAAATAAAGACTATCAATCGGCTCCTGATAAACTTAGTGCCATGCTTCGATGATCACTTTTTTCAACTCCTTGACGCCTCGGAATTGCTAATTTTTGGCGTAAATTTTCTGCACCATGAAGCCCCACACATTTTCCATCGGATTCGAATCGGGGCCGTTCGCCGGTCAGGACAGAAGTGCAATCCGATGCCGAGAGAACCAAGCTTGGGTTCTCCTGCTGACGTAAGTTGGAGCGTTATTTAACATAAAAACAAGGTTTCGGTGACGATACTGACGCCAAGAAGGGGGAAGTGCACGTCGCATAACAGCTCGACAGAAGGACGAGCTCACGTTTTTGGTACGATACATAAGCGGCTAAGCCTGCTCGATGAAATCGCGGCTCAAACCATGGCTCTCCTCCTTAAAGTTCCGTTTAGAAAACTGAAGTTTTCCTTCCGCAAGTCGTGCCAGTGAAATCGGTTCCCGTCTGGGTCATCACAAGTAAACTTTCTTCATCGGAAAAAACGACTTGAACAAAAACCATCAAGAGAAGGACGGTCAAATGTCAGCACATGAAGAATCAGTTCTTACTGGTATCTCAAACATCTTGATTTTCAAGGCTCCCACATGACGAAATTGAAACTAATATCTGAAGTGGAGACTGTGGTAGAGAGGATCTGAATCAGACAGCTGTCATGATACTCTATCAAAAATAATATTTGAAAAAGTATTTCTGTTAATGTGGTAAATCCAGCAAAGAAGTGCTCCTGAATAGACACGGCAGCACCGAAGGCCATGGGTCAATAGAAATCGATCATGAGGGGTCGACGGGGTGGTAGGAACGGAAGTGTCGCGTCGCGGCAAGAGGGACGCCGCGCGCGAAGGAATATAGCAGAATGCAGCAACAGGTAAGAAATACAGGAACAGGAACTAATAAAAGAATCATGCCTAAAACAAGGATCGCGTATCGTTTGAGCTGTATGAAGAACGCTAGAGCTGTAAGCTAGAGCCGCGTACGACGAATCGTTTACAGAAAACCGTTCCTCCTGCCCGCATTCCGGGGTCGACCACCTCAACGTTAATTAGAGGGCGATCCAGCCATCTACTATCAAATGTGACTTAATTTCATGACGAACCATAACAATTATTGTAAGGCAATACTATGTACACTGAGTGTTTAATCAAATCACGATTCTACAAGATCCTCCCTACTTACAAACTCACTTGACAATCGTTGAAACCTTGATGGACCATTCAGACTTTTTCGTTATTCGAAAAAACCTTTTTCACCGTGCTCCTATCTAGATTCACACCATAGCTGACCGAAAATGGGATTCGAATCGTGAAATGATTAAGGTTGGAGAATTCGATGATTCAAATCACCGTTTTCAGCTGAAATTTTCGGAAACTGCCATGGAAGACATCAGAATACTTACATTCCACCCTTTCCTACAACGTAATGTTGCGCATGCCTATCACAAATTGAAAAGAAAATCGAGTGAGTAGCATACGATGCTGTTATGCCCGCAGATAACATAGTGGACACTTGAAGACTCAAACCTCTTCTCAAGTGGAAGTAGAACAAATAATTCCGAAAAGAAATCCGATGATTAAATTTTTACCTGGATTCCTACTGAACACGACTATCAAACGGTCTTCACACGAACTACATGGCTGGAAAGAAGTAGCAAATTTCTAAAAAACTGATGGTTTCAACGACTTTTCAATCTGTCATAAAGGATATCAAAATGATCAGGATTCCATGTTCTCATCGGATATAGTGTCATTTATCCCTTTTCAACAATTGTAAACGAAGTTTCAGTCGAGCTGGGAGGTTTGCGATGCTGTTATATCCCCAAGTAACACCATGGTTGCTGTTAGACTCAATTTTCATTTTTTCTGGAGATGAATGCAAAAAAGTTAGGTAAACCTGAGTTTAGATGTCTGGATTCTTCGCAGGCTAAGGTTTCCGCTGATCTTTTCAAATCAATTGGTGCACTTTGAGAAAATGTATGGCAGAGCGACGGTTTGCGACGTATTAATCCGTCGCAAACGGATTGATCTATCGCAAGCCGTCGGTTGACCACGAATCAGTAGCAGTATTGTACTTCTTTGTGACGGTCATATGGTATTGTAACAGGTGTTCCCTTGATGTACCAATCCGATATGGCTCAAACTGGTACACATCTGTGCTTTGGTGACTCCTTCAAGCAGTGATACACGCAAAGAAGTTTCCATGCCTTTTTTGTGCTTGGAACCTGGAGCACTAAAATTTGACCCTCACTGCCCGCAGACGGCACATGATTGAACCGCTGCTGGTGGTCTCTAATCAAAGATATCTCACGCAAATCCCACGTCTCATCATTTCAAGGAGGGCAACTGGCGCCCTAACTGCATATGTGCCATTTTGTAAAAGACAGCTGACCACTGATCGTTTCGTGATTCAGATAACAAAAAGTGGCGAAGCTTCAGGGAAAGCTCGAAAGAGAGAGAAGAATTGAAATAAGTATTACTCTGAAAATCAAAATTTTACAGCTCGCCATCAACATGCTCTATATGTGCGTAACATCAATCTCTATCGGATTCCATATCAATGGAGCGTCGACAGCTTTTCAAAGCGCATCTCAACTACGAGCTATACTAGGTCAAACTCATTCTAATGATTAATCTGTAATGTTGATTTTGTGGACGAAAATTATGCTGTAGATGAATTCCCGCGAATTGAAAGTGACTATGGTTTCGCTGGTGACAACCCCACACGATGCTTGCCAGCCCCAAAGTACCGCCGGCAAAGCATGAAATATATGGGTATAGATATTTATGTAGATATTTTTAATAATATAACTGAAACTGAATTCTTTCTTACAAGTTTTATAATAATTCCTGATTAAGGAAAAGGTGCCATCCATTTTCGAGATATCCACTTCAGCTATCCAAGCAGGCCAGACGTTGAGGTAAATGTGAATAAGTAGCAGTGACATGGTGTAGTGTGTATTCAAAACCAGTGCAAATATATAGTAATGGCCCAACTTGGTATTAGGAGTTGTTCTTTTGAAAGCAAAGTGTGTAAAGTACCTATAACTTTAAATTGTTTTAGGTTTTAAAGGGAGTTTCGTTTTATGTCGAAGCTGGTGAGAAGATTGCACTGGTTGGCTCTAGTGGCTCCGGGAAAAGCACTCTTACAGCACTTTTACTTCGATTCTACGACCCTGATAGCGGATCGGTAAGTGTGAGTTAGTGAAGGGAGCGGGCAGGAAAATATTGCTTGGCTCCGAGCATTTTCGATAAGGTCCCCATCGCAGCTCGCTTCTGCTCGAGCACGTGCGAATGAATACTCATGGCAACAGTCTCCACAGTTGTACCTTCGGCATCCAATCGATTTAATTTGTTTTCTCTCTGAAATGTAATTTCGAGAGTCGCGCTCAAGCATCCTATCGCTGAAAGCTACCTGGCTCCTCCTCCCAGCCTGTCTGAGTTGCTCATCAGAATCAGCTCATCAGCTAACCCCATGCCTATATGACTTGCACGGAAGCGTTACATTACAACCGGAAAATCAGAAAAGTAAGGGAGAGGTGGGTTGTGAAAACCGTGTAACGGAACTTCTCCCGACACTCTCCCTTACGGCATGCGGCAAATGTCGCTGTCATCGCACTGACTCCGCCTCCCCGCCAATGATAGGACGCAATATTTTTCGTTGATTGCCTTTCTTTTTTATTATATTCGATCGTTTTTTGTTTCTTTTTCGTTTTCATGTTTCTTAGACTTCACTAACTGTAATGACTCCTCCTATATTAGCGACGATCAAGACCGCATTGGAATTGAAGAGAGCGCCCAGCCAATTCGGATACTTCAAGGACTCCCTACCTTGCAAATTGTGCCCTCCAATCTTCCATCGCAAACCTGTGATACGCGGCGAATGTGGCGTGCGCGACGCCGCTTTTGGGGAGAAGACTCCGGACCCGGAAAACCCCTTATTCGTGAAATTTTCGGACAATCAAGCACCTTCGTTTTCTTTGCAAAAATATGACCATAATTCCAAAACACGTGTTTCAAATTATTTGTCGTTTTGCAGTAGGGGTTGAGGCGCTTGTTGGATGACATGCAAATAAGCTCGATCGCGTTAGGCTTTCGGAGACGACGATTGCGTCCAAACCTTAGACCGCTTAACCTAATGATATTGTACCACCTAAAAGTACAAAGACAAAATTATCACAAGCAGTATTTATGTCGATGCTAATGCAAGTGGATAAAGGATAAAGTTATGGCATTCAGGGACCCCAAGCTGAGAACGAGCCGTAATATATAGACCCAAAATTTATGCCGAGTTGACCTGGGCCACCACTCTCTTAAGAATACCTGAGAACTTGAGAGTGCTGTATTTGTGCATCGATCTCTCATCTATACGTATTGTAGTACAGCAAGGTGCAAAGTCAGTCTAGGCAACGCAACAGACCGCAGCCATTCCCGGGTGGGCCAAATCAGGTGCCTATGATTTGCGCAGCAGCGAGGGGATCAAAAGCTCGAGCTACAGCTCATGTTGGGGTCGATGGGTACATCACTGAGAAGGAAACAAGCGATCTTGTACCGATTTATGCTGATGGGAGTGTCACAAAATCTGCATGCCGTGTTGTAATTTGAAAATCTCATCAATGAACAGCTGCATATCAATAGCTAATTATTCCTGTTTGTTGTATTGCAAGAGTCAACTTCGAAGTGACTGTGGTCCTCATAGGCAGAGTTTCCGGTGATCTTATTGTATACTCAATTGCAGCACTTTAATAAAGGTAACGGTGAAGCGACGGTTTGAAGAAGATTAGTCCGTCGGTTAACGATGAATCAGCAGCCATTGTATTGTAGGGGCTAAATGATTGGGAATGACTCGAAACAAAAAGTTGCACTTTTGTTATAAGACTGGAGGCAGAACAGTCGAATCATGCAGTACCTCTGCGATGGATGTATTCAACTTGCCTGTCAGTAACCCCAAGCATAGCGTAATGCTCCATTGGGGAATTAGGCTGCAGTGTCATACATATGAAGAGGTTTTCTTGATGAGGACTCCGTACTCCATCGATTTGAGAGTGGATATCGTATGCAAGGAGTGGATAATGCGGGCTGGGATTAAACGCATGATTATGTCAGGGGCAGTTAGCCCATATTCGTCATCGTTGGACAGTCCTGCACGTTGTCTGACCAAGATAAATGGATAAACTCTTGGGACGTAATTGAGCACGTCTGAGGGATGCGCCTCCGCACTCTACTTCCATTCAAAATCGTAGTGGCGTAATGAGTGCGTATGTGGCCTATACAAGGACATGCGGTGGCCATCCGGTGTACAAGTCAGTGCTTTTATCCTCCCAGACGGGTCTGGTAACAATTAACCGACCACGGAGGGATGGAAGGTTTGATTGACCTAGGCATATCGATCCAGGATTTGAATCCCTGACCGTGCCTATGGAATAGTGCGCCACTTGCCCCTACACCGCCTCCGCCAAAGCAGGCGATAAGTTGGAAATTATGACCCCCATCTCTCAAATGACCTTATGTGGGTGAAGCGGCATTTTCTACATGTGTTGCGATGCTATCGCCGTGCTAATTGGGTCAAGCAGCACTCGCGAACTGTGACCTATGCGAATGATATTCCACCTTTTGTCGTTATCATGCAGACACCACCGTCGGCCTTCAAGAGGAAGGCTTGGTTTTTCTTCTGAAAATTGAGGTCTCCTTTTTCTTTCAATTCCTCAGTCCGTATGCAAGCTTATTCTTGAAATATGTCTACTGCGCTTCTAATCCTCAAAATCCCCGAAATATGTCTCCTGCGCTTCTAGTATTCGCAACCGCTCCCTATTTTTTGATGCATCTGTAGCTGCGATTTGGACGAGATGTTCTCAACTGCTAGGAATTGTTACATTGAAATTCCATTTCACTCTTGCCTCGCAGTGCGTTGCAATATTGATGATAGAATTCAACGCTCCCCATCTTCCCATCCTCATAGATTGGAAAATGAACAATGATGTTCGGAATGAATGAACATTGTTACTTAACAAGACGAAGTGGTTACCCGAGGCACAGTATTGTATGGTATTGTGGTACCACCATTTCCCTCATGAACATTTAGTCTGTCTGAAAAGCAGGAGCAATCCTGATGGAGTTCTACGGTTCTAGTTTCCCTACTAAATATAACGCGCTTGCATCTGTCTGTTTGTTTGTTTCTTCGTTTGTTTGTACGGAAATTCGATACTGCGTGAAGAGGCACCTGTAGAAGTCGAATTATGTTTGAAATGGGTTAGGCATATGGTCAGGTCAACAGAACGCATGTGAGCTTAACTGAGGTCCGCTCGCAGGCGCGGGATATGCACGCGAGTAGGCGAAGCTCCCTTGCTAGGTTTCATACAGCCAGAACTGCGGGAAAATATGGCAAAGGTGAGGGCTGGGTCAACAAGTGAAATGAAGGAGACCCACCCGCGGTAGAAGGAGCGTTCTCACAGAGGGTGGTACTTCCCGCATAAGTTCATAACCTTGTTAAAAACGTTCTGGAATGCGTGAAAAAAGGAGGCTAGATGAAAAAGGAGAGTGATCTAGCCTTTGAAGTGGCTCATCATTGTGCTCCAAAAATTTCACACGCTGGGATAAATGAACAAAGTTAGGATTACATCAATGAACTACACGAAATGGACTCATCCAATTTGGCAAGCATTCCCGGACTTTATGCATAGACTCATCACTAATCGCAGTCCAAAGCAAGATTTTCGAGGGGTGGAGAACAGATCAAAAAATTCATCTTTGTTTTACGCGTTCTTTGTTGTGGTGCACGTGCTAGTGGGCGGAGCGCCGCTGGTAACGTTGGTGCCCCAGACTGTCCAAGGAAATGGAAAATACATAGCTCCAGAGGAGGAAAAATGTGCAAAAAACCATTGAAAATATGCACATAAAGGGAACCTGAAAATTGGATGCCCACGTTAACCGACCTTCACTTCGAACCCCGTAATTAAGAGAAGTACCGGTATAATGGAAAAACAATACTGCTACTAATTCATGGTCAACCGACAATGATCTTTCGATTTTCTCGAATTTTCCGTCTTCTTCGCCGGGAAAACGGAAACTGAATCTCTCAGCACCTTGGATGTTATTTGCGGATATGATAGCATCGTAAACCCTTCACTTCAATTGAGAACTTCGTTTCCACCTCTTAAAAGGGCCTAAATCGTGCTATAATTGAGGAGAGTACAGAAAGCTGATCATTTCGATACCCTTCGTGACATAATTTGAACACTTCCAACTGAAAGTAGAGGTACAAAGCAAATTATTAAATTTTCAGACGTTTGTTATTTCTTTCAGCCACGTATTTTGTATGACGACCTAAGATTGCTTGTGGGAATTCCTTTCTTGTCATAAATTTTCAATTTCTTCAATTTTGCAGTATCCATGGAGGTCAAAGAGTGAGTGTTCAGCACCTGAGGTGCTTCTTGCAGAGATAACATAACCTTAAACCCTCCACTTTGATTAAAATCTTCATTTTGAGTTTTCAAAGGCATATTTGGAATATGGACTTATGGAATCATGTTCATTTTGATATCCTTAATGATAGAATTCAAAAAGTTCCAGCTGAAAACAGTGATTTCAATGATCAACTCTTCAAGAATTTGCTAGTTCATTTCAGAAGTGCACTTCCTTGGGAACGATTAATTTTGCATTTACTCAGAGGCTTCCATTATGTGATCTGATATTCTGATAATAGAAAAACGAATGGCTTCCTAATCGAACGTTGTGCTGATTGAATTCTCACCATCGATTTCTACTGGTCCATCGCCTTTGCTATTGCCGAGTCCATCAAGAGTACGCCTGCTGACACATATTGGTATGCAACTGGCAGAATGAAACTACCACGCTATGATAAATACTGTTTGACTACGTATATTAAGTTTAGTTGTACTACCTTGAATCGCGTGCGAATTTTCGCTCGTACAGAGGGCTATCTTGACTTGTCTAACAGCTTCCTATTTGATGGAAACTGGGGGGCACTGACACTAAACAGCGGCCGAACTAGCACAGAGTAGCACACATTGCTTGCCAACAATGTTGCTTCAGCGTTTGCAAGCGCTCTGCACGACCGAGAATCCGAACCCGCATGGGGTCCAGGTCGGGTGCAAACGTGAGAGGCTGCTTTCATAGTCCGCCGGCCGGCAGGCGCACTGACGTAAAATGAATTAGTTCATACGTAAGAAATCTACGCCTATTGCATTTTATTTCACGGTTCTGACCTGTTCTGACCGTGAAATAAAATGCAACAGGCGTAGATTTCTCAAATACGATTTAAATCGTTTTACGTCAGTGCACCGGCGCGCCGGCTCGCCGGAAGATTGGCCGCCGGACTATGAATGCAGCCAAACGCATGCACTCCCTCTGCGCC